TTTTTTTTTTTTTTTTTTTTTGAGACAGAGTCTCATTCTGTTGCCCAGGCTGGAGTGCAGTGGTGCAATCTCGGTTTACTGTAACCTCCATCTCCTGGGTTCAAGTGATTCTCGTGCCTCAGCCTCCCAAGTAGCTGGGATTACAGGTGCGTGCCACCATACCCCGCTAATCTTTTTATTTTTAGTAGAGACAGGGTTTCACCATGTTGGCCAGGCTGGTCTCAAACTCCTGACCTCAGGTGATCCACCGACCTCAGCCTCCCAAATGCTGGGATTACAGACATGAGCCACCACGCCTGGCCGTGCAAATTCTTTACTGAGTCCTGCCTCAGTGGTCTCCTCTGGAAAATAGGGGTGCTAACTGCACCCACCTCAACTGGTTGTCACTGAGAAGAATAAAGAAGTTAACCTGCTAAAGCACTTAAATGTTGTTTGACACACAGTAAGTGATCAATAAATTATTATTATTATTATTATTATTATTTTAGAGACAGGATCTTGCCCTGTTGCCCAGGCTGGAGTGCAGTGGTATGATCACAGCTCACTGCAGCCTCAACCTCTTGGGCTCAAGCAATTCTCCTGCCTCAGCCTCCTGAGTAGCTGGGACTACAGGCTTGTGCCACCATCTCTAACTTATGCTACCATGACTAACTTATTATTATTTGTAGAAACAGGGTAGTGCTGTGTTGCCCAGGCTGTTCTTGAACTCCTGGTTCTAGTGATCCTCCTGCATGGGCTCCTGGAAGTTCTGGGATTACAGGTATGAGCCACCATGCCTGAACTAAATAATCATTTTTGAGTGCTCATCATGTCCCAGACATTGTTCTAAGTTTTTTTTTTTTTTTCTTTAATGGATATTAACTCCCCTACTCCTTATAAAACTTGAGAAGGTTGGAGTAATTATTTTTTTTCCACTTTGCAGAAAAGAACATTGAGGCTCCAATAAGTAAATTTACTTGCTCACGATTACAGCTTGGAGGGGCTGGATTCATGCTCAGTCAGCCCAGCTCCCAAATGTACCAGGTCCTCAATTAATAATGAAGAGTAAGGGAAAATAAATGACAGGGTTGGGTGCAGTGGCTCACTCCCGTAATCCCAGCACTTTGGGTGGCTGAGGTGGGCAGATCACTTGAGGCCAGGAGTTTGAGACCAGCCTGGCCAATAATATTGAACCCTGTCTCTACTAAAAATACAAAAATCAGCCAGGCCTGGTGGCAGATCCCTGTAATCCCAGCTACTCCCCCACCTACTCTGGCAGAGCCAGAATTTGAACCCAGGACCGGGTGGAATCAAAACTCTGAACTATGTCTGTGAACTATGTCTATAACTGTTGCCACAAGATCAGAGCTAGACCGTCCAGGAGCCAGAACTGTGGGTGCAGCGGCAGCTGAGCCCTGAGCACTAACTCTGTTCATCTTTTGCAGGAGATACCTTCCCGGATGCAGATGCTGATGGAGACAGTCTGGCAGGCCAGCTGGATGAGGCCATGGGGTCCAGCGAGTGGCTGGCCCTGACCAAGTCACCCCAGGCCTTTTATGGGGGGCGACCCAGCTGGCAAGGAACCCCCCGGATTCTTCGGGGCAGCCGAGATGTCCTGGCTGGCCTTTCCAGCAGCTGCTGCAAATGGGGGTGTAGCAAAAGTGAAATCAGTAGCCTTTGCTAGTTTGAGGGCTGGGCAGCTGTGGGCACCAGTACCAATGCCCCAGTCCTGCCATCCACTTAACCAGTGTCTGGCTGGGCACGTGTCTTTCGAGCCTCACATATTCATTCTTTTGTCTGCAAGTCACAGAGTCCAGGCACTGTGGGCTCAGGCACAGTCCCCGGACACCACCTATCCAACCCTGCCCTTTGACCAGCCTATCATGACCCTGTCCCCTGAGCAAGCTGTGCCCCTGCCTGGACAAGTGGGGACCCCTGATCCTGACCTCTGACCTCTCCCCAACCCTAACTATGCGTTTGCCTGTGACTGCACTGCCACAACTGGGTCCCTATTCTACCCAGACAGGCCACACAGTGACCCCTGTCCCCTGCCCAGTCCAAACGGTGGCCAGCTCAAATTAAGCCTCTGACTTAGTCCAGCCTTTGCACGCAAGCTTCCTTTTCCCTGCTTTCCATCCCCTCTCCTCCAACTCCCCTGACAAAGTTCCAAGGCTGTGGACCCCAGAGAAGGTGGCAGGTGGCCCCCGTAGGAGAGCTCTGGGCACATTAGAATCTTCCCAAACTCCAATAATAAAAATTCCAAGACTGGCAGAGAGTGTGTGTGTGTGTGTGTGTGCGCGCGCGGTTGTTGGGCGTAGGACAGGTTTCAGGGATGCGCGGTACGCGGTACCCTCCCTCGGAGGCCCCCACCCCCAGACGCCCCAGGCCGCCTCCCCACTCCCCCTCAGCAGCCCCAGCGGGGACTTTCCGTCGCGGGGAAGGGGCGGGGACCCGGAGCG